GAGTTAGAAGGTTGCTCTGTCCCCCTGTTTTGGGGTGACACTCATCATCTGCCTCCGCCTTGCTGCTTGTTGGGGTCAGTGACACCTATGACCCGGAGTCTTGCGAGTGGTGTTCTTTGCTTGTACTCAATTCACCCAGTCCACTGAGACTGATATTTGGGTGCAGGCAGCTTTAGCATTGCATGCAAGGTTTAAGTTGCAGCAACGTGCGAGGTTGGTTGCCTTTCCGGATGCCCCGCAGCTGCCCCGCTGAATTATACTGGTAGTGAGACTCGGGTGGCTTCGGGGATTGCCCCTTCCGGATTGGCGGCGGAGGCATTCGAGCCTGGTCCTCCTGCCGGAGCTTTTGGGCCACATCAGCGGGCCCCCCCTTTATCCCTGCATTTCCGGTGGACTCTGCTTTTTCTCCAAAGGCAGAGGGTTTGGAGGACGGCTCGGCCCCAGGTCCTGACGTGGAGGATTCCGGGGCTGGGGAGGAGTTGACTTGGGGGGGGCCTGAGCCCCACTTGTCCCTGCTTGGGTGTTTGGTGCCCTCGGCGCAGGGCTTGTTGTTACAGGGGGAGGGGTTTTCCTTTCCCCCTCCCTGTACGATTTTGTTATGAGTTCGACTCCTCCCCGGGTTCGGGTCCGAGTTCCCTTGGGTTCTTCGGTTCCCTCCTTCTGGAGGTTTTTGGCTTCCCGCATCCCACTGAGGAAGGTGTGGGAGGCTCCTTGCGGCTTACCTCCTGCGAGACCCGAATTACGCCTCGATAATGAAGCCTTCTTTTTGAGTTTGGCTCCTCTTTTTCTTTATTGGGTGCGTTACAAGGTGCCGGAGTCTTCCTGGCTGGCTGACTGCCTTTTCTTCTTTGGGAGGCTTGGCATTCGTCCTGTCAGAATTCGCACTCGAATGGCGAGAGTTGCCTATGGTCGTTCAGGTTTTCCTGGGGGGGTGAGTTGGAGCACCTCAAGGCATGCTTGTTCGCTCCCATCCTTCCTTATGATGTCGGCCAGGTGCGGCTTCACGTGCAGGTTCCCTCCCTTTCGGCATCTATTTGGTGGCCGAGGATTTGTGCTGCCTCGTGGGCACTTGGCTTCAGTCTTGCGCTTCTTTTCCCTGCTGGAGCACCAGGCTACTGTCTCGTGCTGGGTGTGGAGGAGCTGGGTTCCGGGCCAGGGTCCGGTGTGCTTGCTTCAGCAGCTCGGGCGCCGGCTGCTTTGGTGAAGTTGTATGTGCCGTTTCTAAGGGAGGCGGTGTCTGTTCTTCGCTTCTCGCCTCGCGTGCTGACAGGCGGTGCTCGTCCAAAATTTTGGAATCGTCTTGGGCCCTGGCTCTTAGATTTTCATCACCTTTTTGTCCGTTGCTGTTTGCAGAGTCTGCGGTGGTGCTTTTTTCTGCAGGCGGCTTTATCTAGTTGACGGCCTTTGTCAGGACTTGTAGGTTCTCTGGGGTTGGGAGCCATTGAGGTCCTGCCCGGAAGGGTCGTGCCAGGTCTCGGGGTTCCTTCGGTCGTCGTAAGCCAGTAGTGCCAGATTCAGGGCCGGCACCTCGTCTGGAGCCGTCGACATTCTGGTCGGCACAGTAATCGCTCTTAGTGTCGGTTGGGCTCTTGTAGGGGTCGTCGGCCCTTTCGCGGTTTGCCCCGTTGACAGGGCGATGGGGGGGGGGAGGCTTGCGCTGTTTGCTCTCGCCTGGTTCCACGATTCGTGGGCATTTCAGGTTGTTTCCTCCGACCTGTGGTGGCGTTGGGTCGCTCCTCCTCCTTCAGGGGGATCGGGCTGGCAGGGCAGGCCTCTTCTCCTGTGCTCTGTCAGGTCATCCGGGGGTGGGTTCGCTTGGGTGTGGTCGAAACGACAACGTCCCTCAGGTGGGTTCCACTGGTTTTCAGTTCCGAAACGGGACTGTGTGGATCTGTGATTCATACTGGACTTGTCCAAGTCTGAATCTCTGGGTCTTTTGCCCCTCCTTTCGGATGGCCACTCTGTCTCAGGTCCGGCTGCTTTTGGCACCGGGTGCCTGGATGGTGTCTCGGGTCCTCCGGGATGCGTATTGGTTTTATAATTTTATTGTACGCGTCCCGATTCATCCGGGGTTCAGTGACTGGCTCAGTTTTGTCGTGGGGCAACAAGCTTACCGCTTTCATTGCCTTCCATTTGGCTTGAATCTGGCACCTCGAGTGTTCACACGCCTTACCGGGTCATGGCGACCTGTTTGCTTCTGTTAGGGGTTCAGGTTCTGGCTTATCTCGACAACTGGCTGGTGTGGGCTCCCAGCTAGTTCGCGTGTCTGCTCGCCAGGGATATGGTTCTTTCCCAGCTTTTCCCTCCGATCTGGTTGTTGCTCCGGATCCTGGCTCGGTTGGAGACTTGCTAAGGGAGAGTAGTCCTGTTGGCTCCTTGGTGGCCGGGCCAGCCTTGGTTTCAGGCGCTTCTTGCTCGATGTCCGAACCCAAGAGTCTTCCCGCAGCTCCGTCTGTTTCAACAGATCGGTCCGGTCTGTTACGTGGCTGGTTCGATCTTCTCCACTCTTCGCGTCTGGTCTCTTTGACGTGGGTGTATCACCACTTGTATGGTGATCAGGTGGCTTAGTTGGTGTCCCACCTGCAAGTTTCGTCTAAACTGCAGTACTGTATGAAATTTCCTGGTGGTCCTTCTGGCAATTCTTTGTTCTTTCTCTCTTAGTTGTTTCAGGACCGTCATCTTAAGCCAAATACTGTCGCTTCGTTTCGTGCGGCGCTGGCGAAGCTGCTGCAGCTTGCTTTTGGGGTGGATGTCTCTTTTGTTCTGTTCCGCAAGCGTTTTTGGACGTTGTTTCACTTCCGGCCTGCTCATGCGCCGCCTGAGCTGTCCTGGTCGTTGGACCTGGTGCTCTCTTTTTTTTTTTTTCTTTTCTCGGTTTGTGGTGGCCCCCCTCGGTTCAGGACTTTTTTTCTGAGGCTCCTTTCTTGAGGGCATTGGCCTCTGGGGGTTGGGTCAGGGAGCTTCATGCTCTCTTCCGGCGCAGGGGTGTCTGCTTTTTCGGTCCTGGTGGTCGTTTCATTCGTTTGCAACCTTCTTCTTTTGTGGTGAAGAATCAGTCTGCTGCTTTCCGAAGGGGTCCTTTGGTTGTTGATGCTTGGTTGACTCGGCCGGGGGTGCATCGTGTTTTGTGTCCAGTTGCGGCTCTTCACCAGTATCTGCGCACCACGGCCTCCGTGGCAGGGGACACGCTTTGGGTGGACCCGGTTTCCCTTCTTCCCTGTTCCGAGGTGTGGTTCTCCTAGGTCGTCCGCAGGATTATTCGGTTCAGCCAGCCTGTGGTCAATCCCAGTGCCCTCGACGTTCGTAAATTCGCGGTTTTGGCTGCTGTGTAGGGAATATGTCCTAGGCTGACATTCGGGCACGGGCTTATGGAAGTCGAACAGGTTCCTGGCTGCACGGTTTCTCATGCCTTCTCGGGTGTGTGTAGCCTTGGGTCGCAGGTTGCAGCCAGTTGTCTCGACTTCGAGTTGAGGACCAAGTGACGACTGCCTCCCGGGTAAGTCCCTCTTTTTCTTTGTCTTTGGTTAGGTAGCCCCGGGGAGCCTAAGGGGCTCTCCACAGAAAACCAGCGTTGAATGTAATGAAACGCCATTTTCTGGGTGAGACCCGGAGGCTCCACGGCATCCCTCCCTCCCTGCGGTCGGCGGTTTTTCACGTTTTTGATACTCGGCTTCTGAACTGAGGAGAGGTCTGGGACGGCGTGGAGGTCTGGGACCCCCTCCCTCCCCCTTGGTCCCCCTCCCGGGAAGGGGTTGTTGCGCAGACGGATGCGCAGCGTTTGTGGTGACGTCATACTTGTTTCCTTAGCTTTGATTGGGGAGTTCTGTTGCTAGTTTGGCTTTTGGTTTGCAAATTATCTGATCATCAGTAGTTTGTTTTGGAATTCCTACCTTTCTGGGGGCCTGCCCTGGTAGATGGCAGACAAAGACTGTTTCCAATTACACGGGGGTGTCTTTAGGCCATTGCTCCTTGTGCCTCTCTTGAGGGGGGCCAGGTTCTGGCTCTGGTCTCCGGTAGGCTTAGAATTCCTTCGATTGACTGTTGCCACGGTCTAATATATACACATCAGTCCGGTATAGCTCCAGGGAGCCTCCGGGTCTCCACAGAAAATGGCGTTTCATTACATTCAACACTGGTCTTTTGTGTGTTTTCGTCTTTGGCTGGGTACCTCCGGGGAGCCAACCCCCAGAGAACCAGCATTGAATGTAATGAAATGCCATTTTCTGGGTGAGACCCAGAGGCTCCCTGGCAGCCCTTCCTCCCTCTGGTCTGCGGTTTTTCACGTGTTTTGATATCCAGCTTCAAAACTGGGGATATCCGGAGCGAGAGGTCTGGGACTCCCTCTTCCTCCTCCCGGGGAGGGGGGAAGCTGTGCAGACAGCCGACGTGGTGACGTCATGCTCATTAGCTCGTTTTTATTTTGGGAGTTCTGCCCACAAGTTCGGCTCTCAGTAGCAATTTCTTAATCAGAATAGGGGTTTGTTTTGGGATGCTTACCTTTCTGGGTGCCTGACCCGGTCAATGGCAGACATAGAATGCTTCCAACCACATGGAGGTTTCTATAGGCCATTGGTTCTTGTGCTTCTCTGAGGGGGCCAGGTTCTGGCTCGTGGTCCCCGGTAGGCCTAAAGAACTTCATACACATTACAGATGCCAAAGTCTGACATTAGCAATAACAGCATGGATAGCTCTGTGGAGCCTCCGGGTCTCACCCAGAAAATGGCATTTCATTACATTTAACACTTTTTCTTTTAATTTCATGTACTTTTACTGTATATAGATTTATTATTGTGCTGGTAATTGGAAGATCAGAATATTATACTGTATTAACATAGTCAATGGATAAAGCATTTCATTTTTGGTGATAAGTTACTGCCAGTATTCATGAATTCTGCTTTGAAATATTATTATTTATTGTGTCTACCTTTATTAATTTGATTATTCATGTTATTGTGCAAGTTAAAAAAATGCTTATCTGTATGTTTAAATATATTTTGCAGATACTGTATGAGTATATTGTCATGGTGAGGGGGTTCTGTATGTCGTCCTTGGGCTGGTGTGGGTAGCTTCAGCCCTACTCCTGCCTGATATAGCAAAGTATTAGAAGAGATTAGAAGAGGATACCTACTGAATTTAGGACCCAGTAGTCTTTGGATTACATGCTGGAGGATTTCTTCAGCAGGAGGTCAACCTGAGAGGAAGGTTTATTTTGTTTATGGATGGAGTGTGAGGGAAAAGGGAGTCGGCAGCAGCGAGAGGAAATATCTTGTACAACAAAGATTTCATTGCTGTAAAGGGGGAAGACTCTTTAGGACAATGCCTCCATTCTTAAGCCAGAGCTCTGCCTTCCTCACTCAACTGGTAAGTAGTATTCTCTAGCATTGGGGCCCCTAATCTTTATTCCCACTTTTATGGTGTTCATAATTGCTACTCCCTCTCAGACTCGAGTGATGGGCGACAAGGCCCTCAACTCGGGCTGTCCTGGAACAATGGTTTTCCCTTCTCTCAAGGAGGAATTTGCTGCTGGCTCCATAGGTTATGCTATGTTTAGTCTTCGGCTCACCATTCCAATCTAGCAAAACACGGAACCTTTTATTTTGTTTTGAATGGCAAGTGTCCACAGGATCATTCATAGAGCCAAGTGTGAGAGTTGGAGATTTCACATCCTAACAGTTACTTGTAACTTCTCTTCCCCATATCTCATAGAATTTTGAATACAAGAATAAAGAATGAGATGCCTTCTTCTTTATCCACCCAGGCTCATTAATATACTGTATGTATCTAATCTTTAAATAATTCGGCAATCTTATATCTATGTTATTTGATTTGTTCCATAAATCTACAATCCCATTTTGAAACCAATACTGTATTTACCAAGATCTTTCCTAAATCTAAACTGATCAAATTTATTTCTATTGTTTTGTGGAATATTTTATCATACTTAGTAGCCAGAATGCACTACTTGACCTAGTATGCAAGGCCCAAGTTGCCGCACAGGCAGAGTGATTTTCAAATATTTTTCAGTTTGGTTTTTTTAAATTAATATTATTATAGTAAGAACATTGAATAGGTTGTTAGGATAGGCTAGGTTCGGTAGTTTAGGTTAGGTTTGATCTGCGATAGTTTTAAATCAAATTACAAAAAAAAATTAAATCATATATAATATATGAAAAGAATTATCATTCCATAAAATTTTTTTGAAAAATATATTGTCTCAGGAAAACTTGGCTTGTTTGGCAACTTGGCCAATTGGGGACAACTTTTTATATGTATGAATATATGTATGTATGTATGTATGTATGTACTCCCCTAGTTGTGAAAGCAGGAGTTGAGCTTCGGATCTTTGATCCTGCCTTTCAAATGTCAATCATCTGACATATAGGTTCCTGAGCCTACTGGGCTCTATCATATCTACACTTGAAACCGTGTATGGAGCCTGCCTCCACCACATCACTTCCTAATGCATTCCATTTATTAACTACTCTGACACTAAATTTTTGTTTCTAATGTCTTTATGGCTCATTTGGGCACTCAGTTCCCACCTGTGTCACCTAATGCATGTGCCCCTTGTGTTAAATTTACTATCTTTGCCTATCCTATCAATTCCTTTGAGAATCTTGTATGTGGTGATCATGTCCCCTCCCCCTGACTCCTCTATCTTCCAGCAACGTGAGGTCCCATAGTCTCTCCCTCATAGCTCATGCTATGTATGTATACACATACAGTATCCACTCAATTTAACAGCCTATATGGGGCTGAGCCCTAGTCGTTATTTACGGAGCTCCGTTATTTCCGAATTAAGTCGGGTCGGGTAATTTTTCAAGTAACATTCAGGTAGGATATATTTTATACTGTATAACTAAAATTAAATAAAGTTCATTGTGTAATTGCATTCCAATTTAGTGCACGGCCGACGATTAAGCCAGTTGCTGGCTGCTGCATGGATGATGTGTGAACACGCTCTGATCAAGTCCAGATGGGTGGGAAAAAATTGATTCATTCCTTTGTATTGAAAAATATTTCATGTATCAATCAGTGAGTTAATATTGTCTTAATAAAATTTTAGAGATGTGTTTTGATTTACCCTGAACAGTGCAGGTAATGTATTTTTAATGTTACGACACAGGCTGTGGCGGCCATGCCATAACAATGGCGATCGAGCCTTGTCACTGAGAGCTAGCCAAGACGAAATATTTTGAGCTCACCTTTTCTCTGCTGACGATAGAATATACATTTGCAGAGACTAATATGTAGCTTTTGTTGAAAAAAAACAATTAATATCTTGTAATACTATAATAAAATTGGTAAATTGACTTACTTTTAATGTTACGACACAGGCTGTGGCGGCCATGCCATAACAATGGCGATCGAGCCTTGTCACTGAGAGCTAGCCAAGACGAAATATTTTGAGCTCACCTTTTCTCTGCTGACGATAGAATATACATTTGCAGAGACTAATATGTAGCTTTTGTTGAAAAACAATTAATATCTTGTAATACTATAATAAAATTGGTAAATTGACTTACTTTTAATGAAGCTGAAAATTACGAAGCTGTGAAGATTACGTCATCCTCTGCAGCGCTTGTTTTATATTGTTTATATTGTATACAGGGTACATACTGTATGTACAGTACACTTATTTTCAGGCACTCACTTCACACAACAGCTAGCCTTACTACTCATTCACATGAGTTCTAATTCTACTTCACTACTGACTATGTTGAATGTTAAACTCTGCTGCTGCTCGTGCATGAGAATATCCTTTATCAAGTTTCTTAATTAACTCCAGCTTCTGTGCAACCGTCAGGCGCTTCCTTTGGGTAACTTTTGGCATTTTGTAAATTAAAAAGATCACAATTACAGTACAGTAATATCCTTCACAATTGAAGCTAGCCGCACGAGTTCACGGTAAACAATGGGAACACATGGCCCGGCGGAGTACATACTAGGTCCGTGGGAAAAAAAATACCTAGTGCCTATACATACTATAAAAGGTATTTAATAAGAAAACAAAGACTTTTGCTTAATAAAAACTGTTTCAAAATATTTTATTAATAATAATTTACAATTTTCTTCATTAAAGTGAATCATTTTAAAAGAAAATTAAGATGTAATATATGACTCTCGACGATCCAGGTCGGTGGCGGCCTGGTCGCCATGTGAGGGGACGCTGATGCCACAACAAACCCAATACAGACCGTCGGTAATATCGACCGCAGACCGGTATAGCAGGCTCCAGATACTGGGCTCCCAAACCGGTCGTTAATACCGGCAGATTGGTATAAAAGAGGCCGTTAAATTGAGTGGATACTGTATGTATGTATGTGTGCCCGAGAATGGCACAACCTCCTACTGTTTTGCAATATATGTCTAGCCAACCCTGCAAGGAGAAAGAGAACCTTAGCTGCCTCAGTCATAAATGCAATAAATTAATTTTCCAGGGAGGACAGCCAGGTGCGCCTTCCCAATTGTGCAAGAGAAACTCACTGCAGGAAGAGCAACAGTGATGTATCTGAGACTTCAAAAATCAGAGCAACAGTCTGCAAAAAAAAAAAAAAAAGAGAAGTGGGAAACACTGTAGATGCAATAAGAGTCATCACCAGAAGACAGAATTGCTGAGAGAGATGCCAATACAGCTCAAGCCCTAAGGGACAAACACCATTGACCTGACCAAACACGTGGTTTACAATAACACTGGTCTTGTAAACCAAAGGTTGTGAGTTTGATTCTTACAGGGGGGGGGGGGGGAAGCTTATTTAGTGCCGAATCAACCGGGCTGTAGTGGATATGAGGGCCCATGGGATGCTCTAAGCAATAGCCTGTTGGACCAAGATCTCACAAGTCAAGCCTGGCCCTGGGCCGGGCTTGTGGAGAAGAACAACTCCCAGAACCCCATCAAGGTATGACCCACCCAGGGTCATTCTACATGAGAATGACATTCCACCAGATGGGGTTACTGGAACAAAACCTCTCTCAGTGGATGAATCTGTGGTTCATAAAGCAGCCTTGTCCTTCTCACCAGAATCTGCAGGTGGGTTCACAGCACTAAAACCCAACCATATTATACAAATGCTCAACCCTTCACTGGGTGACATTCAACCCATCCTCCGAATTGACAGTACGTTTTAATACTAAGTGTAATAAGAACATTTCCTGACTGTCATACATAGTACATAGTTGCACTTATGGGGCTGTTACATTTATCTCCCCATTTATTCTCCTTGTTTTCTGTTAAGACACTCAGAATTTTAGGATGAAGTTTTAAAGTTCAGTTCGCCATACACAAGTTTAAAATATCAGAAATTTCTTTTTTAGTTTTATTAAACAATAGAGATTTTATAAAAAAATTGAAAATATCCTGAGTTACTTTACAGTTTATTTAAATATTTTAGTTTTGTTTTATTTGTTTTATAAAATGTAATATTAATATAGCTATAGGTTAAGTAGTAACTGTAATTAAGAAGCAATAAAATGCTTATCTTAAAAAAACTAAGACGGTTAGGTTAGGTTGTGGTTTTCTATTCAGCTTTTCAGGTAAACTCAAATATTCACAATATATTTTTCACAATATATTTGACAGTATGATTTAATACTAAGTGTAAATAAGTACAATTACTGACTGTCATACATAGTACATAATTGCACTTATGGGGCTGTTACATTTACCTCCCCATTTTTGGAAGATGGGCTGTGACAATGCATAAGGCCTCCTGGTGGAACTAACCAGATTCAGCAACACATGTCTTGCTGGTAACACACCAGAGACCATAAGGCCTTTCTTTTATGAAGCATCCCTCTGTGCTCTGAGGAAAAAGGATAAAGGAATCAAACCAATAACTGTCGGCAATTCCCTCCGGCATCTCATTGCAAAGGCTGCTGCGAGAACAGTTAGCCAGGCAGTACCCATCATGCTGAAACCAAACCACGTCAAATATTGACATGGTTCAGCATTCTACAAGTATGTGAGGAGGCAGCTCATGCAGTTCAAACTTTCATTGCTAACATGACAGATGAAAAGGCCCTGATCTAACTAGATTTAAAAAAATGCCTTCAATTTGGTATGATGGGATGCAGTACTCTATGCAGTTCATCATCATTTCCCTTCCGTCTACCCATATATACATTCGTGTTCTTGACATTCTTGACAGCTTAACATTTGGTTCTTGGATGATGGCACCCTAGCTGGTTCCCAAGACTTCCTCCTGGAGAACATTGGAACAATCCAGGAGCAATGTGCAAATTCAGGCCTCACCTTGAACTCTTATAAGTGCAAAATAACATATTCCAACTGGGGCATCATAGATAGAATAAAGGATGGTTTGCCCGATATCCATATATATATATATATATATAACCAACCTGAAGACAGCTCACTTTTAGGACCTCCCCCCCTACCTTGGATCAAAGGCCATTGATGAGGTTCTTGATAACAAAATCTCTGACCTGAAGTGGATGGATGGGAGGATTGAAGATATTGATGCTCAGGATGCACTTTACCTCATTACCAGACATCTGTCCCTCCCCAGGTTAACCCACTTTCTGAGGTGTTCAGCATTCTACAGTAGCAAATAACTATGTGGATATAACTTCACTGAAATCGCTGTTAGAAAAGGCCATCAAACTTTCCCCTGATGACGTGCAATGGAAATAAGCCTCTCTTCCCATCAAACTTTAGGGCCTCGACATTCGAACAGCCAAGCAAATCGTTGTACCAGTCTTCCTGTCCTCCTTGGCATCTGACAATTTAGTGAAGGAAATTCTACCTGACTACTTAGGTCAACTGGCAGGGGTAGACGATCTCAAGTTTATACACCATGCCACCGATTGGGCACCCCAGCACCCCAACCACCACCACAAGCCCACAGTCAACCCAGCTGGGATGGCCCCATTGAAGACCGAGCTGCTGCAGGGTGCCTAGATGCTTTGATAACACAACATGACATTGCTTGCCTCGTAGCATTAGCAGCCCTACATGCAGGTGACTTCCTATTAGCTACCCCAATGTCTGCAACTAGCACATGTCTCACACCACATGCTCTCCGAACTGCTGTGGCCCTCTTCCTTGCTTCCTCAATCCACACCAAATATAGATGCATTTGTGGCGAGGTGGTGGCTGATAGGTATGGCCAGCATGGCCTACTCTGCCAGTGCACAAGGGAATGTCACTTGAGGCACAGTGCCATCCTACAACGACTTTAACTTGAAAGCCATAGATGGGAGGCCTATGGAGCTAGAACGGAGGGCTTTTGGACCTGTAGATTCTTAAACCTCATCCTGGAGACATTCATGTATCAACATGTTGAACTCTCTACGAGAATGAAGGAAGGGGATGTTCCTTCTATTTTGGATTTGATATTCAACAGGAAAGGGGGAAAGAGATATTTGACATTTAGTACCTTTTCCCCTCTTGGGTAAAAGTGACCATTTCCTTTTGGGAATAAGTATTCAATGCATTATAATCTAGAAGAGAATGAGGAAGTTGAAGCAGTTGAAAAACCTGATTTCAGGTGAAGACACTATGGGGAACTTAAAAAGTTCCTTAAGGAATTTGATTGGAAAGACTTATTATTGTGCAAGGAAGTAAATAAGATATATGTCAAGTTTTATGAAATATATGTTAAAGGCACAAAATTTATACCAAAACAGAGGTGCAGAACTAGGAAACAAGATTAGTTTAACAGAAATTGCAAGAGGGCTAGAGACCAAAAGACACAAAAATGGAATCAATATAGAAACAGGCCAAACCCCCAAACATACCAGCGATACAAAGAAGCACAAAACAACTACATGGCAGTGAGGAGAGAGGCAGAAAATAATTTTCAGAAAGGGATAGTAGAAAATGTAAAATAGAACCAGGCCTATTCTATGAATTCATCAAAAGCAAATTGCAAATAAAGGATAATATTCAGAGCTTGAAAATGGGAAAAAGATTCACAGCAAAAGTAAAGGAAATGGGTGAAACATTAAACTGACAGTTCCAAAGTGTTTTTGTGCAAAATTAAATCTTCAGAGAACCAGACACAACAAGAATTCCAGAGAACAACATAGCGCACATAAAGATATCTAGATATGAAGTGGAAAAAATGCTCAAGGAGCTAAGAAAGAACAAAGCACTTAGCCCAGATGGAGTTTCACAATGGGTTCTGAGAGAATGTGCACCCGAGCTTAGCATTCCACCTCAAATTATTTTTCAGGCATCCCTATGTTTTAAAAGGCAGTACATTGTTCCAATGTACATAAGTGACAGCAGGGTGAATTATATTCTCAGTTATAGACTTGTATCATTGACATGTGCAATATCAAAATATTGGAAAAATAATTAAAACCAAATGGGCAGAACACCTGGAGAAAAATAATATAACAGACAGACATTATGGTTTTCGATCTGGAAGATCCTATGTTTACTCAGGATCAGATTCTCAGGAAATTGACTCTGTTTCTATGACAGAACCACAGAGATTTTACAGGAAAGAGATGACTGGGTTGACTGCATTTATCTGGACCTAAAAAAGGCTATAGACAGAGTTCCACATAAGAAGTTGTTCTGGAAACTGGAGCATACTGGAGGAGTGATAGGGAGGCTTCTAATATGGATGAAAAATTTTCTAACAAAAATGAGAGCAGTAATCAGAGGCAATGTATTGGACTAGAGAAATGTCACAAGTGGAGTACCACAGGGGTCAGTTCTTGCACCATTAATGTTCATTGTCTACATAAACAATCTACTAGAAGGAATACAGAATAATATGAACATGTTTGCTGATGACGATGCTAAATTTCTAGGGAAGATCAGAAACCTAGACAATTATCATGCCCTCCAAAAGACCTGGACAAAATAAGTGAATGGAGCACCAATTGGCAAATGGAATTTATTTTGAATAAATACCGTATTAAGGAACGTGAAATAGGAGAAAGTAGACCAAACACAACCTACAAATTATATGAAAAAATCTTTAAAAAAAATTCTGATAATGAAAGAGATCCAGAAGTAGTTGTAGATAGAGCTATCACCCGAGGACCACGTCAAAAACATTGTGCGAGGAGCCTATGCTATGCTTTCCAATTTCAGAATTACTTTTAAGTACATGGATAGTGAAATACTAAAGAAATTGTTCATGACCTTTGTGAGACCAAAGCTGGAATATGCAGCAATTGTATGGTGCCCATGTCTTAAGAAGCACAAACTGTAAAACGTGCAAAGACACGCAACTAAATGGCTACAGAACTGAAGGACAAGAGCTACGAGGAGAGGTTAGAGGCATTAAATATGCCAAAACATGAAGATACAAGGAAAAAAAAAAAAAGTGGTGATATGATCACTACATGCAAAATGGTAATGGGAATCTACAAAAATGATAGGGGAAAAATTCATGTGGCCTTGGAACTTTCAAGAACAAGAGGTCATAGATTTAAACTAACTAAACAAAGCTGTCAAAGAAATAAAAAAAATTCACTTTCACAGAGTGGTAGACGGTTGGAACAAGTTAAGCAAGGTGGTGGAGGTCAAAACTGTCAGTAGTTTCAAAGTATTATATGACTGAGTGCTGGGAAGACGGGATGCCATAAGTGTAGCTCTCAACCTGAGCTACACTTAGGTAATTACACACATACAGTGGAACCTCGGTGTACGATTGTCCCTGAGTGTGAATTTCTCATGTATGATGACAACTTCTGCATAAAATTTGTCCTGGTGTGCGACGTTCACTCTGGAGTTCAAATAGCTTGTTCATACTTGTTTGGGTCACGTGCTTGAGTTCTGCAAGCCAAGGTACAATCAGTTTATCAGTCCTGCATAGTGATAACCGCGCTGAATTCTCTGTAATTTTTTTGTTTTGTTTTGCTGAATAATGAAGTTCTTAATATACAGTATATCATGCCATGAGTCTGAAAAAAGTCAGTGATAAAGTGCAACCTAAAAAATAGTTGAGGACGACGATAGAAGACAAAAACAGATCATTCATAAACGTGAAGATGGTATCCAAGTGATTGATCTGACTTTCAAAAATGTGTGCAGTAAGGGAAGAATTGCAAAGTTTTGCTGAAAAGACTCGCCCAGATAATGCTATGGCAAGTTGTTGTGTTAACCTTTTTAATGATAATGTGATGTCTCACTACAGATAATTGTTAAAACTTAGGCAAAAACAAGTGTCTTTAGACAGATTCCTAGTGAGACAAACAATCAGGTCCTAGTGGTATGGCTACAAAATGTACGAGAGAGTACCTCAGAAATGTCATAATTGCCTGATATGATGGAAGGGGACTTCCTATTACAAATGCTAACACCACTCCCCCTCCTCCACCCCTTCTCACCGTCTTTCGTGCGCCAACAAGAGTCCTCAATAAAGGTAAAGTGCAGTAAAAAGTATGAGTAGTATTCTGCATAAAATGTATTTTTAAGTTAATATTTTTGGGTGTGTGTGTGTGTAAAAAG